GCAGAATGACTTGCCCCACTGCCTATATATCTACTTCTATTTTTTTGAGATTTTTTTATAGGGTGCATGCACACACAGAGACCCCTCCCCCGAACCGCCATGCCACAATCCCTTCTCCATTCTTCTCTTGGGATTTTGGGCATGCATGCACACATGCTAGGTATAAGTTTTAAGCTGCTGGGTGTGGGACTCGAACCACAAGTGGCTATGTGGGAGTCCACTGACAGAACTACTATGCCATCTGCTAGGCCCTACCTATTTATATTTTTCAAGTCCAGTTCAAAAGAAAATCTAGTTGGAGAAGCTTTCCTTACTCTAAATCTTAGAAAAGAGAATTAATGCTTTTCTCCACTTTATATCTGAAAAGAGAATTAGTGCATTCTCTATCACAATATTACAGCTTTCATTATATTGTGTCATAATTTATTTATTTAGTTTTTTGGAGAGGTTTTTGCTGTCAAGCGTGTGCCCTCGCCAGACAGAGAGAGACAGAGAGACAGAAAGTGAGAAATAACCCCCCAGGGGGAACGGCCACGCTGCAATCCCTTCTTTTCCATTCTCCTCTTGGGATCTTGGGCACGCACGCACACGCGCCCGGCGTGAGTTTTAAGCCACCGGGTCCGGGATGCGAACTGCGGTCGACTACGTACGTGGGAGTCCAGGGACATAGCCATTACACCAACTGCTGGTCCCTCACAATTTATTTTTCATGTTAGAATGTTAAGTCAGGAATGTAGAGAACTTTTTAAATTTTCCCAGAATGTATATGTGCTCACTAGAAAGAGACAAGAGAGAGAGGAGAGAGCTCCCCCAATGGGGTGTGGTCATATAGCAGTCCCTTCTCAATTTTTCCATCTCACTGGGATTTTGGGCAAACATACACATATGCCCAGCATGTTTTTCAAGCTACTGGGTCTGGGATTCAAGTCGCTTAGTTGGCCATGTGGGATCCAGTTCCCTTAATCACCAGGCCACAGGGCTGGTCCAAATGTGTGGCAGATTCTTTTTTAAAGAATCATTTTTTAATGGGACCAGTAGGTGGCATAGTGGTTAAAGGCACTGGATTCCCACAAGGCTGACTGCAGTTTGAGTCCCGGACCTGGCAGCTTCCTTTCTTGCTTTCCTTTTCTCGCTCTCTCTTTCTGCTCAAATTAAAAAATAATAATAACAAATGAAAATAAATACATACATAATTCTTTTTTTAAAAAAAGAGAATTAATTTGCTATAGGGCATGTGTGCTCACCAGAAAGAGACAGACAGAGAACCATGGTCAGCTATGTGGGAGACCAGCACATTAACCTGCTGGCCTATGTGGGGTGAATTCTTCATCAACATTTTTTAAAAATGATTTGGAAATTTTATAAGTAATTTAAAAAGGTATAAGAGAGAACAATTTAAAATGGCAGTTTGGATTTACAGGAAATAATAAATAAGAGCAATGAAAATATTGAGTGCTGGGATCAGCAGATGAATAATGATTACATTGCTGGGCTCCCACGTAGTTAATTGCAGTTCGAGTGCTGAACCTGGCGGCTTAAATCTCACACCGGGCACATGTGTGCACACCCAAAATCCTGAGATGAGAATTGAAAAGGGACTGAGGATTTCTCCCTTCCTGCTTTTCTGTTGTCTCTGGTGAGTGAATGTACCCTATAGCAAAAATCTCATCTCAATAAAAAAAAGAATTTTGATGGCCCAGCACGATGACAAAGGGCACAGGGCACTACTATACCATACTGGAGACACCACCCATACTGGGTGGTGCGGATTTGGAACCTTGGTAGATCTTGGCCTGTGATCCTGACAGGCTGGGAGACTGAGGAGAGGATCTAGGTTTAGTGAGACTCTGCCAATGGTACTTGTCTCTCTTCCTCATTCACTCACTCAATAAATAAATAAACTAACAATAAAAGAAAGAGGTGGAGGCCAGCAGGTGGCCTCCCACATGGCCAGGCAGCTTGCTTTCTCACTTTCTCTTTCTGTCTCTGGTGAGCACATGTGCCCTACAGCATAATAATAATAAAATAATAATAATACATAATAATATTAAGTAATTCTAAAAAAAAATGAAAAAGTGGTAAGATTAAAAAAAATTGATTTCTGGTCTAAAATTTTATGAACCTCTTAAAAATATGCAGAAGCTTATTAAAGAGCACGTTGTATCTATAACATTTTGAAAATATGTTTCAGGTTTCTTTTGCAGATCTTGAAACAAATTTGGTTATAATTTGATTCCCATACTTATAGTATAAGATATAAAAATGGGACCAGCAGATGGTGTAATGGCTACGTCGCTAGACGCTCATGTAGTTGACTGGGGTTCGAGTCCTGGACTCGGTGGCTTAAACTCATGCTGGACACGTGTGCGTGTGTGCCCAAGATCCTGAGAGGAGAATGGAGGAGAAAGGATTGTGGCGTGGCCATCCCCCCTGGGGGATGATTTCTTGCTTTCTGTCTCTCTCTGGCTTTCTGGCAAGCTCATGTGTCCGATAGCAAAAACCTCTTTAAA